ACCCCATCCTGCAGCAGGAGGCCACGTGGCCTCTGCCCCTCTCGTGCCACGGGGTTTAACAGGGTCTGCTTCCCCCTGCCCCCCCCTTCTCCTTCCCTGGCTTCCTCAGAGCTCTTCAGCATGTCCCTCAACGCCAAGACCAAGGTGAGAGGCCTGATTGAGATCATCTCCAACGCTGCTGAGTATGAGAACATCCCCATCAGGCACCACGAGGACAACCTGCTGCGGCAGGTGAGGGGCAGCCAGCGAGCTCCGGGGCCACAGGGGCTGGATGGGGGGTTCCTGCAGGGCTGGGGGAGGGAACGTGCCCATGATTCACATCTGCAGGACTTGGAGAGGGAGATGAGACCCCTCCCCTGCAGTGCTGGGGCAGCTCTGGAGGCCTCAGCACAGCAGAGCCAGGGACCTGCTGGAGCGGGGCCAGAGGAGCCCCAGCAATGCCCCGAGGGGGGAACCCCTCTGCTGGGAGCCCAGCAGGAGAGAGTTGGGCTGGGGCAGCTGAGAGGAGAAGGCTCCAGCTGGGGAGACCTGCTGGGGGCTGCCAGGGGCCTGTCAGGCAGATGGGGAGGGACTTTTGAGCAGGGGCTGTTGGGACAGGACAAGGGGGGATGGTTTGAAACTAAAAGAGGGAGATGTCGAGAGAGAGGAGATTTTTAAGGCTGAGGGGGCTGAGCCCCTGGGCCAGGCTGCCCAGAGAGGTGGTCGCTGCCCCATCCCTGGAACCATTCCAGGTGAGACCTCACCTTGAGCACCCTGCTCTAGTTGCAGACGTCCCTGCTCAGTGCAGGAGAGTTGGATGAGATGACCTTGCAAGGTCCCTTCCCACCCAAACCAGCCCGTGGTTCTCTGCTTGCAGTGCTGACGGGTCTCTCCTTTCTCCCCTAGCTGGCCCAGAAGGTTCCCCACAAGCTGACCAACCCAAAATTCAACGATCCCCACGTGAAGACCAACCTGCTGCTGCAGGCCCACCTCTCCCGCATGCAGCTGAGTGCTGAGCTGCAGTCAGACACCGAGGAGATCCTCAGCAAGGTACCAGGGCCTGGGTGGGCACCCCCCTGCCCCCCCTGCCCCCTCCAGCACTGCCTGAGGTGGAACCACCACCACGGGCCGAGCCCTCGCTTCACCAAACCACAGTTCTGGGCACAGAATCCCCTAAAATTAAATAATTTGCTGGGATTTGGGGCAGAGGTGGTGTCAGCTCGAGCTGGTGCTGCCCCAGAGGGACCTTCTTGGTGCTTTCCTGGTGCTTTTTAAAGCCTCACCCTCTGTCCCAAGAGCTTTGCACCACAAGCACGTGTCCTTGGGCCAGTCAGATGATTTAACCTTTTTTTGCCCTCTTTGGTGACTGGAGTTTTGATGTGGGTGACCTCACGTGCATCATTTTTGTTGTTCCATCTTCCCCTGGCTCTGGGTGGAATGGGCCCTTCTTCAAGGCCATGAATTGTTCCTCTGCCTTCAACCAGAACGGTCACTCTGATTTCTGTCAGGAGGAATCTTCTTTAAAATTACCCAATCTCATGAAATCAGCTGGGTTACAACATCTGGAGGTCACATGGAGTTCCTCTGGGCTTCCTTGGGACTGAGAAAGACTCGAGGCAAAGTTCACCCATCTCCAGGTCACAGCCTGTGGCCTGAGGCTCCTGGAGCAAGTTAACTGCTGCTGTAACCACAGCACGTGATTCGAGTCATCATCCCCCTGGGCTGGGCACTGGGGAGGGCACCCCTCAAATCCTGGGGGCAGTTTTGGGCCCCTCCCTCCCAGCAGGACCTTGAGGGGCTGGAGCGTGGGCAGAGAAGGGCAACGGAGCTGCTGGGGAAGGGTCTAGAGGCCAAGTGTGGGGAGGAGCAGCTGAGGGAGCTGGGGGGGCTGAGCCTGGAGCAAAGGAGGCTCAGGAGAGACCTTCAGGTTGTCCCTGAGGAACAATTTCTTGCCCTGGAGGGTTGCCCAGGGCTGTGCCAGGCTGCCCAGGGCAGTGGTGGAGTCCCCACCCCTGGAGGGGTTCCCAAGCCGTGGAGATGTGGGGTGAGGGACACGGGTGGGTGCTCCCTGGCACTGCTGGGGGGGTGTGGTTGGACTCCATGATCTTTCCCACCCCAAACAATTCTCTGGCTGGTCAGATTTAAATTGTTTTAGCTCCCAACACGTGTCACTGTCTCCTGAGCTGCCCCCCCTTGCCCCCAGGCCATCCGGCTGATCCAGGCCTGTGTGGACGTGCTCTCCAGCAACGGGTGGCTCAGCCCAGCACTGGCTGCCATGGAGCTGGCCCAGATGGTGACCCAGGCCATGTGGTCCAAGGATTCCTACCTCAAGCAGCTGCCTCACTTCACCTCAGAGCACATCAAGCGCTGCACGGACAAGGTAAAGCTGGGAGGGGCAAGAGCTGGAGTTCTGCCCCCAGCCAGTGAGGAGCTTGTGGGTCAGAACAGGGATAGAAGCAGGAGTGGGGATCTGCTGGAGGGATCCACAGAGGGACCTGGCCCGGCTGGATCCATGGCCCAGGCCAAGGGGGGGGAGTTCTCCCC